TATAGTTTATTGATTTGAATCTGCCTCTGGGAATTCAGAAAGCTCCTAGTCAGTGGGAGCATGGTCCTTAATTACAAATACAGAAAAGTAGGAGCAGGAGGGTTGCGTGAGCTAAATAAGAAATGCAGCCAGATTAAAATGACCTGTGATGTCTCCGAGTCTGGACTGATTCATTTACTGAAACAGGAGTGAATCTGTTCTGAGAGACAGACGCTTTGAAATCAAAATCAGTACTCTACATGAATTGTTACAGTACCTCTATGAAACCGTTTCCTTGAGTTCATTAAATCACTGCAGCCACTTGAAGGCAGCAGGACATGTTACAGTTATAATACAAATATTGTTTTTGTGTAAATATATTATTTTGAACTAGTTTTTAAATATTCCAGTAACATGAGTTTATCAGTGAATGTTTCTCCACACTGATTAGTTCAGATGTTTCAGAGCGATGACAGCAGTGGTTGTGGTTCAGTCGGACAACGGTCACCGTTCTGAGTCTGTGTGCTTCCACCGTTAAAATACAGCTCTAAATAAACCTTCAGTGAGACTTTAGAATAGAGGTTCAGTTGATGTTTTACTCAGTCAAACACACAATGAGTTGTTTTCTTCTCTCTTTTTAGACACAAAGACCCAGTCATCAGTCAAGGTAAACGCATTCATCTTCATAATGACTGCAACCACCGTCTTAACGTGTAAAAGCCAATAGGAAGGCAGAGCTTCCAGAAGCATTGCCTTCAAGATATTTTATACATTTATGTTTATTTGTTCATAAAGTTCTTAGTTTTTACTTTTCTAGGCGTAGGCTGAGTTGTTCTTTGTGTTCTTTTTGTTTGGGTTATTGTTGTTTATATTTGTGTTGTTGGTAAGTGACCATATTTTTGTCTCAAACCAGCCAAAATGTCCACCCGAGAGAAAAACAGCCAAGCTGGTAAGTCCTGAGTTGTCACGTTTAGCAGGCTAACAACAATCTCTTAGGCTAACATGCTAACAAAGCCTGAGGGAGCGCTTCCTGTTTCTGCTGTGAACCAGTCACATTTCTGTGTCTGCTTAACATTGAAAACCTTGCTCAAACTCCTGTTGTCTCTCCTTGACACTGTTCAGGTGATGTCACACCTATCTGTGACTCTGCCCCTAACATCATTTACCTCCGTATAAGGTCAAACTGGTGATTGTATTAACTTGCTCCATGAGCAAGGGGCAATGGCTGATAAAAACAGAAGACCCACCCACCATCTTGATGTAAAAGACATGATTGGATGCTGATGTCATACCCACACTGATTGACAGGCCCTCTAGTAAACTTGACATATTCCTTTTTTAACAGCAGTGATAACATGAAGGTAAACTATGGCACAGCACCGGCTTCACCTGCATACCATCAGCATCTCCTCACCTGTCCCTTGCCTGTCTGAATAATGTTTGGGTTTTTTTGGCACCATATTGTGACTTATTGATTCACCAACTGTCTGTTTCAGATGAGCTGGTAACAATTTTAAACTGGTCAGAGAAAAGAAACCTGTTAGGACGGGTTTCCTTTGTCTGATTAATTATCAAAGTAATATTTGAGGTCATTTAGTCTTTGATACAGCACAGCAAACTGACAAGTATGTTTTTACGCTCGTCTCAAACAGACTCACAGGTTTTAAACAGTTCAATATCCTGTTTGAACCTGATGGTTTGTGTTGTGTTAACAAGTTGCACAGCTCAATTAAAAGTTAGGTTCTTGGAGTCTTTTAATATTATCTGCAACCAAAACCATTTGTATTTGTTTATAAAACAGATCAACTTTACTTGATACATCAGGTTCTTCAGAGTGTGTTTTGTCTTTGTGTGTTTCTGCTGTTTCAGAGGGGAATCATATCAAGATGTTCATGCGCGGTCGACCGATCACCATGTTCATCCCTTCAGATGTGGAGAACTACGAGGATGTTCGGTCAGAACTTCCTTCAGAAAGGCTCAAGCTGGAATGGGTGTATCCTTCACTGCACATAGCGAGCTCTTTGATGCGACACAAGGGCGACTGTGGTTCAGTCGGTTGAGTACCGGAGGGTTGGAGGTTCGAATCATGGTGTCCACATGTTGAAGTGTCCTTGGGCAGGACACTGAATCCCCCAAGTTGCCCTTGATGGTTAGAGCCTTCCTCCCTAGTTTTACTGTGATTTCATCATTAGTCCTGGTCGTGAATTGTTGTTTTGTGCTTGTTGCACAAACTCCACCCACAGATCCCAGTTTCTTTGACAGAGGAGCAGCTTTTGTGCTTGGGTACAGGTGAAGAGGTGGGACAGCACTGCAGCATCTCTATTGGAAAATGGCTTTCATGTGGTGCTTTGAGGCTGTGGGACATAGTTCAGGTCATATAACACTCGACACTTCTTG